TATGAAGGAAGGGAGGAAAGGTCACATCCGTGTTCTGCAAGAGTTTGTCTTGCTGCTGGGAGAGAAGTGCTGACATTCCCAGGCAGCCTAGGCAAAGAAATGCAACCTTGAAGAAGTACACATGAGATCATCTTCTTCCTTGTTCCTTACTTCTACTCCACATTGTTGGCCACTGCTGGGTTAGAAGGTTAATATACTGTGTCTGGTGGAGAAATGAGACACTTCTTTCAGTAATTTCATGATCTGGAAGAAGAGAGAAAAGTTTTCAGTTTTTTTTCTTAATATTGCCACCAAAGTAAATAAGAAAATAAAGATTAGACTCAGCGTGGCAATTATTATGGTGGCAAAATTATCCTGTGTGTTTCTCTGAGAATAAGTTTTGTTTTTAGGGAAATTAGCATTCTTGATTTTGTTTTCTCTCCATCCCTCCTCTTTTATCTGAAGACTGAAGTGTTAGAGATTGATTACATCTTGGCATCTGTGAGCCTATATGGACCACTAAGATAGATAGACGATAGAAGAAGGAAAGAGTCTTCATATGTTGTTCATAGGTATGTTTCTCGTCTGGTCACAGAACTCTATCCATCCATCCAAAAATGTTTTTTCCCCTGGGATATATTTTAATTTCCCCATCTATTCTACATTCCTGGCATCCGCTGGAAGTCTCCCATCCAAGTAACAATCAGACCCAACTATGCTTAACTTCAAGCCCAGACAAGGTCAGCCAGCTGTTGCCACTTGCTGTTTATTTGTGCTGTTATGGAAAGCACTGGCTGAATTGCCTTGGGACCTTGGCTGCACTTTTCTCTTCTAGGGGTGTATTTTGTTTTTAAAATCATCTCTCTGAAAGTTCAGTTTGCATCCAAAGAGATGGTGTCAATGGGAGCTTCTTTTGGGATTCTCATAGTAGCTGTTGTGGGGATTGTGGCAAGGAAAGGAAAAGATGGAGGCTTCTTCTCCATGCTCCATACTTCAGTTCCAAGGTTCTTGATTGTGTCCCATGGTTCATGCAAGATACATCACATCTAGAAGTGAAAACATCGGCAAAGCAAATGAGGGAAGCTAAGAGAGTCTACCTTGCCCCCTTGTTACTCTCTCATCAAAGGGGACGTCAGGACGCCCTCCAAACTCTTCTGCGTGATCCACCAGAGCATCTTTCACCACCTCATATCCACAGAGCACAACCAGAAGTTTTGGTCCCATCCACACAGTAAAGACGGGGCCATACTTCTCATTGAGCTGAAGGCAGAAATAAGAAAGCCTGATGAATTAGCCCACAATTATGTGTGATTTTTTGCTTTTAAACAGCAAAGATTTCAACTCTTTTCAAAAGGCTAGAGAATTTTGGGAAAAATGTAAAGGAGAATTGGAAGAGATTCAAATGGAAGCTATATTGGAGACTGTTCCAAAATCCAACAGATGCAAAAGGATTCTGTAAAGATGATTTTGAATTAGGTGCTGCAGGCATTGTCTTTTCTAAATTACTAGCCTAAATATGATTTATAAATGTTTAAGGTGGAATACAAATGGAGCAAATGCTCCTTAAAAAAGAAAAAACTAACTACTTAAAAAATTAAAACAAGATATAATTTGCCAACAAGACACTCATCTTAGAAAAAAGGGCAAAAAGCATCTGACCTCAAAAATTTGGGTGAAGAATTTATATCAGCTGGACCTAAAAATATATAAATGGAGTCTTTTATACATTAACTTCCAACTAAAACCAGAACTTGTATTGACTGACAAACATGGTAGATTTGTTGGGGTGGAAGTTGAATTACATGGGGCTAAAACTACGGTACTGGGAATTTATACCCCAAATGAAGATGAAGGAACTTTTTGAAATGACTTATGAAGTAATTGACAAGCCTTTCCTATGAAAATTGGAGTTTGATGGGAGATTGGAATGGAGTGATTTCTCCATAATTAGACAAAACATCAGAGAAGAATATTAACATTACCAGTGTAAACTACCGGGGGGGGGGGG